TAAGGTGTATCGGGCAGTGTCCTGGGCCCTGGAGATGGAGTAGAGGGCAAATCCCACCAGGCACCCCAGAGCTTATCACCTTTTGGGGAAAACAGACATCAGTCAAATAACCACAAAAATAAATATATGATTACAAACTGTAACGTCCGATAAGGAAAAGTGCTCAAAGATGTACAAGGCGGAAGGGTTAAAGTGGCCTGGGGATCAGAGAAGGCTTCCCTGAGGAAGTGATATTTGAGCTGATAGGTGGAAGATGAGAAGGGATGAATTAGGCAAATGGGGTGGGCGTGGCAGCTGCCACAGAAGACAGGATTCCTGGAAGAGGGAGCTGCCTGGGCCTGGAGCAGGTGAGGAGCAGGGAGAAGGCACACACACTGAGGGCAGAGCCAGGGGTGCCAGTCCTAGCTGGAGCTGGAAAAGTCGTCAGGGGTCAGATTAGAAGGGTTCTTAGAGGCACCCTTTGGGATATATGGGATATATATATGGGATATATGGGATATATGGGATATATGGGATATATGGGATATATGGGATATATCCTAAGAGAAATGAGAAGGCATTAAGAGGTTTTGAGCAGGGAAGGAGGGTGGTCTGGGGAGCGTGAGACATAATCAGATTTGCATTTTGAAATGCTCACTCCATCTGCTGTGCAGAGATGGGGCTGGACAGTCCAGAGAGGATGTGGGGGCCCAGTGAGGTGGGAACAGACTCCATCTCAGGCAAGAGACATGGGTATAAACTGGAAATGGGGAGCTGGGAGTGAAGAGTGAGTCGAGCAAATGAATTTGCCAAACCAGAGTTTACCAAACCAGATGGATGGAAATAGGGGACACTGGAAGATGACCTGATTTGGGTAAAATGATCCTGACATCAGTTTGGGACATAACGGCTTTAGGGAGCCTTTGGGGCCTCCAAGGAAAGACCAGTGATAGATGGGTCTGGGATGGAGATGTACGTGTCCAGAGCCATCTGCACACAGAATGATGGATGATGTGGACGCGAATGAGGTCGCTTTATGTTACCACTCATGGTCACCTCTCCCCAGTCACTCCACCTGTGCCTGCCCCCATGCAAGGAGAGCAGGTCTCCGCTGCCTCATAGAACCCCTCAGGCCTCTGGACCCACTCCTGCTGCTATAGGGCCTCTTGTATCATTGTATAGCCACTTTCATACATGTCTTCCCCACTAATGATCCAGGAACACCTCAGGGGCAGACACGTGGCTCTCCTCCTGAGGTCCTCGGCACATGCAGAAGAGCCTGGCCACTGACTGAGCAGGAAGATACAGGCCCACTTTTCTAGCCCACCACAAAGCCTGAATGCAATGCTGCTCTACAGGAAAGAATGCAGGCCCAGATCTAAGAGCCCCAACTGAAAACCGTTCTCAGAGTTCTCGGAGGAAAAGGGTCCCATTCTTACCTTTACTTCCAATAAACCAAGATAGGTGTTGAAAAATTCTTAAAAGACAGTGGTATGGATGTTTTCCCACTGTTACTATAAATAAGTGAGCAATCAGGTATTTATTGAGGATGTACTTCTCTTTCATTAAGGACTTCTTATGTGAAAGGCACTGATAGGTAAAGAAATGAGTAAGCTCTGTCCTTAAAGAACTTTTAACACAGCCTCTTACTCAGAACCCAGTGCTCTGGTTGTAATTCAGAACAAAGTTGTGCATTATTTCCTGTGATTATCTACAAGAAAATCAAAGCCTGACTCCGCAAGGAGCTTATAAACTCAAGAAAATATAGGACAAAGATAGATGAAAAGTTACTTCTATCAGTACAAACAGAGCCACCTACCTTCTCCAGTGCCTTTTTTCAACTGGAAAAAGGTACCTCTCCTCTAAGTAGACAAGGCTCCTCAGTGGGTCATATGATTTGGCTGGATGTAAGCCTCTTGTCCCCCTGCCCTGGCCAGATGTCTTTGTGCAGTGCACACCATGCTCAACCCATACATGACAACAGTAACAGGTATTATTCACAAGGAGGGGTCAAGAGAGGATGGGTGAACCAGGGAATAGGAAGAATATGACTGGTTATGAGAAGGAGCACTGCAAGGAAGGCTAGAGGTATGTCCAGTGACAAATGAGGTTTTACTAAGGTGAAGGGTGTACCTGATGGAGTGAAGAAATGAGATTGAGAAGTTTGATTGGGGAGTGATTAGGGAAGACCCCAAATATCAGGTTAAGAAGTTTATACTTGACCTTGGAGGGGCTGATCATGGCCTAGGGATATCACCCCCCATGCTGGTTAATTTTAAGTTTCAATTTGAGTGGCCCCAAGGGTGCCCAGATTAAACATTGTTTCTGGGAGTATCTGTGAGAATGTTTCTGGATGAGATTAGCATTTGAATCAGTAGACCACCCTCCCCAATATCATCCAATCCACTGAGCACCTGAATAGAACAAAGGGTAAAGGAGGAATTTGCCCCTCTTTTTTCCTACCGCACTGCTTAAACTAGTACACTTTATTTCATCTTCCCTGCCCTCGGACTAGGGTTTACATCATTGACTCCTCTGGCTCTCAGACCTTCAGACTCAGACTCAATTATACCACTGGCTCTCCTGGGTGTCCAACTTGCAGATGGCAGATCATGGGACTTCTCAGTTTCCGTTATCACATGAGCCAATTCCTCATAATGAATCTCATTTTAGATAGATAGATAGATAGATAGATAGATAGATAGATAGATAGATAGATATCCTCTTGGTTCCTTTTCTCTGGAGAACCCTATTATACTCTCTTTTCCCCAGAGCAATGCCAGGGAGAGTAGGCTACCAGCATCAATGCTCACCAGAGTGCCTACCTGCACCATGAAAACCCATGAAGGATACCACTGGAGGAAAAAACAACTATCTTTGTGCTGACATGGAACCCCAAATGCTATCTAATCACTTGCATTTGTAGCCTGCCTACAAATATATATTTTATGACCAATATGTTTATTTTTACAATAGTCTCATTTGATTAGTAGGATGAAAAAACAGAGCAGGTAAGGGCCTTGGCAAAGGTCAAAGAGAAAATCCACAGTGGCCAAGGTGGGACTGGTACCCGGGTCTCTCATTCAGGATCCAGTGCTCAAGGGCGCTGAGCCTCTCTGCACTTGGCTTGGCAGGCTCCCTCTTTCACCAGTTACCACACTAACTACTTGAATCTGCCAGTCCTGGGTCCTTTCCAAGAAAAGACAAAGCTTCCAAACAAGCAGTAATGGCAATGATTATGCCAAGCCAGAGGCAGGGGATTCTGGATCATTTCCTTAAAATACTTGCTCAGCAGTGCCCGTGCCCTCACCCGCACCACCCCTCATCCCAAGAAAGAAATGTATGGTACTTCGTTAACATGAAGAAGAAATAATTCCCTGTGGATTTCTGCAGTCTCATTTTCCTAGCTTGTCAAATGCCAGCAGCAAGCCAGTCTGGCTGCATTGTTAGCTTGGCTCTATCTTATTTTGTAGTGGTTTGCAGATGCAGCAGCTTTCCGCCACCACCACTCTCCACCACCACCACCGCCCCCACAACAGGAAAAAAGCAAACCACCTTTGAGCTTCCTGGTATATCATTCAAAAGATTTCCCTGTTCAACTCGGACTTCATAATACAGTATTCTCTTCTTCTTTCACAAGCTGTGTATTTTTCTCCAAGAAAGAACACGGAAGTTATTTTTAACACCGTACTACAAGATATGTGATCCAAATATAATTTTAAAAAGTAAACAAATAAATGGAAGCCTTTCCAATATGTCATGCAAAGCCTAAGAAGCATGTCGTTCAAAAGCTAGTTTTCAGTTATCCTATTTCCATCCCCCCTCTTTTTCTGCTTTACCTTTTCATTACTAAGGAAGTTGGGGTGAAAGGGTGTTCGTCTTTTTTCTCCAAGACGCATCTCCCGTGGCCGAGTTTCTCCACACCTGAATTCACACATCTCCCACGTCATGAGAATTACCTCCATGGTAACCACTCATGACATCATAAACACAATGTGATAGCAGAAGAAACAAGAGCTACAGAGACCCTGTTGGAGGCAAATGCCCTGTGTGATCTAAGGAGCTCATGGGAACAAAGGGAATTTTGTCTTGAGATTTTAGCAAGAAAGTAATTCTTGAAATCTATTCTTGTACTTCGATATTTATTGAATTTCAAAGCCTCTTGCTGCGCAGGAGCCTGTGAAGACACACCAAGGGCCATGACATTTCTGGAATGGCACCACAGCACTTGCCGCTGAAAAGAAACTAGTGAAACCAACAGACTTCAACCAAAAGACATCAATCCTTAACAACAGTTAGATCTCACAGGTATTTCTGATGGTCAAAATAGGGGTTCCTGGAATGGTTCCAGGGTTTTATACAAAACAATGTGTTCCTGGAAAGCCCTTTTTCTCTTTCTACCTTTTCTTACCCAAAATAAACGCCCAAAGTCTCAAGCCAAGGTTAGCAGCTATTAATAATTTTGTGGACAGCAGCCAAAAGAAGAGTGGATGCACCATGAGTGTGTGGCATGCACACCACAACAACTTCCCAGAGAGGGGCGGCGCTTTGTTGTGAGACCATGGTGAGATGTGAGGGGAATGTTAACATCCACTTTCCACAGGCATTTCTCGCTGCAAACGGCCCCAGCTTTGAGACTTAGAATTTCATTCCAAATACTATTAGATACATCAGGGCTCTCAAAATATGGATTTCAAGTTGGAGACATCAAAGTGCATTATTTCCTAAAACCACTGTGGATCTCCCCACCTCTTCTTGCACAAGATGCTATTGTAAAACTCAGGCTGCTTTAATCTCTGTGATTCAAAACAAAAAAAAAAGAAAGAAAAAACAAAAAGTACAGCTTGAAGAGGAACTGAACTCTCACAATCTGGAAGCTAAAAAGTAAACATCACCCAGTGAGCTCCTCAGTTTAATTACTGGCCTTAGCATTTCAATTTACATGTGTCTTCATTATCCACAGAAGGACTCACCTATTGTTCTCTGAATAAAAAATTTAAAACGCAAACAGAAAATGGGGGAGGAAAGGCTTATTGAAGGGCCTCTGAGGATTAATCTTTGCATTCTTCTCATTTTTTCTCCGAATTTGGGGATAAAATCTGTCATGGAATATTTGATCTTAGGGAAACACTGAGTTTGGTTTTGTGAACACAAACTGCTTCTGACCATTATTTTAGCAAACAGAATTTCAGAGGCACAGGGCTCTTGGAGAGGGTTACATCGAATTTTGTATAAACAAAGTAACTCAACTGCATTTCCTCCTGAGACTCCGGAAGTCCAGCTGCGTGAATACACTCACTGATTGAGTGTATGGGTGTGTGCATGAGCGCGAGTTTCAGGGCTCTTTTCAGGCATCACACCCTTTGATGCCCTCAAATTTTAACTTGCCTTTTCGAAGTATTTAATTTGGTTTGCTTGTCCATCTTGGATTGTCAGTTTCTGCCAACAAAAACAGGAAAGCAAAATTAATTTTAACTGACTTTAATTTAAATTAAAGTGTCATTCCAGATTTCTAAAAAGTAGAATTCTCAAAACGACTGGGCATTGCCAAAGCTTGAAGGAGCCTTCGAATAGCTATAACTGACTTATCGTGGGCTTATTATGATACCCAGGGAGAAAGCACTTTTGATTATGAAAGAATAACCTTTTTATTAAGGCTGGACACCATTACTCCAATCTCACTAGCCAGTTGACGATTGTTCAAGCAGGTCTAACTCAGCTTCCGCACTGGGCAAGGAATTCTGCTAAATGCTTTGGAGGATAAAAAGATGTCAATACACGGTTCCTAAAGAGCTTGTTAGGGGAGATAAGACCTTTACAGACATGTAGAAACCATCAGTTACAATTAAGATGTGCTTTGAAAGCTCTAAGGAGCAGGGGCCCCCTTCTGAGTGGGGGGACCACGGTGGGCTTCACAGAAATGTGATAGTTAATCTGAGAGAGTTCAGCGAGAATCAATGGAGAGACATAACATATGCAACAACCCAGGGCCGGAAACCTGAGATATATTTAGAATAATGAGCAGAGGACTGGCTTTGCTGAGTATCTGTTGTGGCTAGGATACAGAACAGAAAGAGGATTTTGCAGGTCACAGCCATGTACCCAAGAATGGATAATATGGTCAGCCTCTAATCCCAGGATCTGAGTGGGAGTCAGAAGAGAGAAGGAAAGGGATGCCAAGGGCCTCTAGTAAGAACTCAAAAGGAGACCTCCACCGCTTCAGATAGAGACAATCAATGCTGCATTTCTCCTACAGGCTGAGAAAGGGAAAGGAAACATACGGTCAACTACTATGCCATCAGCCTGGCAGGAGTTTTCAGAGTCCTCCATAGCACAGCCACTTTTGCCCAGTAACTCCTGAAAGGCATCACTCTGCTTCTGACAGACCAACCATGATGTAGAATGCCACGGCTGCTGCTCCCGGAACAGCCACCATCCAAAGACTGCTTGCCTGTTAGGAACCATTTCCTTGCCAACCTGGAAGTCCTCAGGTGTTCAGCAAGGTTGGGGACACTTGGCAAGGTCTTCTGTCCCCAGACTAACAACGGGAAGAGCTCTGGGCTGGAAGTCAAGGGAGTGGGTACTGGCCCATCCTAGCCTGGATATGAACTCCCTGTGGACTTTGGGTGAGACTCTTCCTCTCTCAAGGTCCAATTTTACTCAGAAAATGAGCAGCTTGGACCAAATACCTGCTTCCATGTCTGGCATTCTGAGATTTGGGATCAAGGGTCCCAAGGTTATGCAGCTATGTAAGGGTGAGAGCCCGGACCACACCCTGTGTCTCCTGTCCCCACTGATCCAGTGTTCTTTCCACAGCTCTGGCTTACTCGAGTGGGAGATGTTAACAGTAACCGCCCACACCCATGGAGTGGCTACTGCATGCCAGTGTGTCTCTACTCTCTCTGGTTAGTCCTCATATCAGTCATCTGACTGAGATAAAGCTATCCAATCAACGTACATATAGGAAACAAGCACAGAAAGATGGAGTCGTTTGCCCATAATCACAAAATTAGTAAATGAGAAACCAGAATTTAAAGTTAGACAGCCCCGTTCCAGAATGCATCATCCTCATCTCTACTCTCCACACTACACAGCAGAATAAGGAGCAGCAGAGCGACATAAGGGACATGGAACCTTAAAATAGAAACCATGGCAGTCTTCCAATGGTGAATTCACATTGCAAGTATGAGAGCTTTCAGAAGAAATATTTTGGTCAGTGTTGCTTGCCTGCATAACCTCCCCTTTCCCTCCCCACAGATGACCACATGAACAGTCCCTGGGGGATCATTTACGATCCAGTGGTCTTAACTGTGGTCTGAATGGAGTATGGATAATGACCACATAGAAAATCAGGAGACAGTGGCCTCCTGGCTGACTCCCCCAGCTCATAAGACAAGGGAAACCAAAACCACCACAGATTATTTTTACTACAAAATAAAACCCAAGAGGAGGTATCCTCTCGAAATCTTCAGGGATCCACGCTGATATCACCCCTAGGCTCACAGGTGCACCTGCAGACTTATCCAGTAGAACACATCTCAGACTCATGGTTATGTCAAGCCGGACATTAATTTAAATAAAATAAAGGGAGAGGGTACTCAAAAACTTGAAAACTTCTTTCAGAGGACCGTACTACACAATCTCTATATCCTCTTTTACCTATGACATGTAAGATCTCTATTCTAGGAGGTTTAGGAGTTACTTTTGAGCAGATTTTCCTATCGCTAATAAAAATGTGTTAGTGTGGATGCAAGAATCCTGGATGAAAACTGGTAAGCCTCCTCCTAGCCCAGTGCTTTCACCAATTGGCCAGTTGACCTTGGCCAGTCATTTGACTTTCCCAAGCTCTGGTTCCTCATCTGTAGTGAGAGGGCTGATCTTCTAGAGTTCTGTGAGCCAACCAAGGACCAAGAGCTCTTGAATCGTGTGTTTTGCTAGATGGACCCACAGAACAAAATTGTGATCCAGGAGGATTAAATTCAAATAAGAAACAAGAGGCAATGAATGCTCTTCTGAAAGAAGAATTAAGTTCAGATAAAAATCTGTGCCTCTGTCTGCTTCTGGAAGCTTGGCTTGGCACTGACCTGCTGCCAAGCCTTGGGGGCTCCTCAATCTATCCACACAGCAGGGAGAGTGAAGGCTCCTTCCCTGGGGGGATGTTGGCATGAAGCAAAGTGCTGCAATCTCCATGACCTCCCTGAAGGGAAGGTTTGCCTCCTTCCCAGAGACAGCTTCAGCAGTGTAGACAGCAGAGTATCTGAGGTAGTGAGCAGGGCGGACATAGCTGAGCGGAAAGCCAGATAGGAAACCACTAACCTTTCTGGGGTGGGGACAGGAGCCCCCCCTCATCACACTTCATGATTCTGCCTCAGCAGACTATGGGTTTTCCCCTGGTTCTGCCAGAAAAACCTTGTCACATTCTTGATGGCCACACACCTGCATGATCTCTGGCTGTTTCTCCTTACCCTTCTAATTCTGGATTGTATTTACCAAAATTTGTATTCCTCTGAATTTCTAGGATCTTTTTAATGCTGTTCTATGGAAGTAGATTAGCTTTGTTCAGAATTCAGTATTATTTTCAATGTGTAGGGTTATACTTAGGTACTTTAAAAAGAACTTCACGTTTCCAGCTGCCCAAGAGTGAAAGGCACTGCTCCCTCATTAGTTCATTATGTGCTTTCCCTAGACACATAAAAACAGAGGATAGAGGGCCAGCATTCAGTGCATTGTAGCAGGGTTCCTGCATGCGATAAGAGCGGGGGACCAGATGGCCCAGTTTCTGCCGATGAAATATAAAGTTCATGAGGGCAGTAATATTATAGTCAATCCATAGAGCCAGCAATTAGAATAGTTCTGGCACATGGTATGTGCTCAATAAATCTTTATAGAATGGATGGATGGATGGATGGATGGATGGATGGATGGATGGATGGGTGGATGGATGGATGAATTCCACCTCCAAAACCCTGGGATTCTCTGGTCCTTCAGCCTATGTCAATAATACTCTTACCTATCTCATTCTCACTAGTCACTATCTCCCATCTCCATATTTATCTGGTCCCAGGGGCCTCCATACTGGTATATTGGCTGCTTTGTTTCTTGATAAGATTAATTTTAAGATAATAATAAAAGCTATCATTTGTTGAATGCTTAAATATATTAATCATTATGCTAGGGACTTTAAACGTATCAACTCTTTTCATCTACAAAACAACCCAAGGAGATCATGTTATTACTTCCATTCAACAGTTGGGGAAACTGAGGCAGAGAGAGTGTATGTTTTGCCTAAGACTACCCACCTGGTAAGTGAGGGAGGGGGGCTTAGTTTCAAACTCAGGCAGTGTGGCTCCGGAGGTAATGCCCTTAAACCCCACACCTGCTGTGTAAGCTTCAGCTCTGCTCATTAACTAGAGCATTCATTATAGATCTCTCAACCAGAGGAAGGGATGCTCAAGGTCCATATGCCTTCAGAATTACCTGAAGCACTTCACGCTCCACTAGTCTCAAGGCCCTACTGGCTTCCTGTGTTAGTTTTCAAAATCTGAGTCCCTGAAGAGTATTCTTTAAGGTAGAAGAATTGCAAGTGACAGTGTAAAGTCTATTCAAGGCCAGGTACCAAACTTTGCACCTGGTAGAGACCAACAGGTAGAGACAGCTCAGCCTGATTAGATATTTATATAAGCCTTTCATCACTAGTGTATATCAGCACCTATTATGTTTGGTCTGTAATGGATGCTTAATGACTGTTGAGTTTATGAACAATTTGTTAACTATTAATAAATTAATGGCTAGCAGAAAAAATACAACTTTAAGAACTTTAGAGATAACTTAATAGGAAAATTCAAATTAAAACCCTATTTGTTGTTAGACAACAAGATGTCATTATTCTTTCAAAACATGTGTCTTCAGTGTCTGCCATGTTCCTGGCACTATGCTGGTCATGGTGGGGGACAAAGGGAAGCTATTACTAGGGACCCCACAGTCAGGAGTTATCGCCGAAGTGGGAAACGAGATTAAAAACTGGAAACAACTAGACTGCAATATATTCTAACTTCATTAAAGCATTTGACACTATCCTGTGTCTCAGGATAATCAAATGTGTTCTAGATTTTTTTCCTATGCATTTAAAATTACTTGAGTTAGGTTAAAATGGTCAAATCCATTTTAGAGTTGAGAAAATGAAGCAAAGACAGGAAGGTCATTTGCCCATAATCACACATGTAGTAACTGTCATGCCAGGATTTAAAGGCAGTCAGTCAGAACCCATTTCTTTTTTTTTTTTTGAAGATTTTTTTATTGTTATGTTAATCCCCATACATTACATCATTAGTTTTAGATGTAGTGTTCCATGATTCATTGTTTGTGCATAACACCCAGTGCTCCATGCAGAACGTGCCCTCCTCAATACCCACCACCAGGCCAACCCATCCTCCTACCCC